GGGCCTGGGGCTCGCGGGAGGGGAAGCAGGAGGAGGAGGAGGAGGGGTGGCGGTGGCGGTGGCGGAGGCGGAGGTGGAGGAGGCTAAAGCCGCACCGGAGGCGGCCGCGGCGGGGCGGCGGGGCGCGCGGCCCGGAGCCTTGGCATCGTGTACACTGAGACGGCTCCACCTGAAGACATCAGGAGTGGCGGGGTCGCCGCCGCCGCCGTCCGAAAGATGAGCCGGAAAGCCTGAGGCGGAGACAGCCGCCCCGGGGCCCGTGTGGCCGGCTTCCCCCGCCCCGGTGAGGACGCCCCTGCCCCTCCCCCCGCCCTTCGGGGGTCCCCTCCACGCCGGGTCTTGGCTCGCACCTAACTGGGCCCAGGCGGCCCTGTAAGGGACTTGAGACCCGTGTGTGCCGAGCCGCCCCTCGGTTCCAGAACCGTACCGGGGCCGGGGAGCCGTCGGGTCCCCCGGGATGCGGCTGCAGACGGGGTGGGCTGCCTGGTTCCCACCGCTTTCGGTCTGCCCCGGCGCCTTGATTCGGTCGCTAAGCAGCGATTGGGTTCACTTCCAGATTTCTCCGCGATCTTCCCCTCTTATCACTCTGTTTCCTGAGCCGTAAACCTAGCAGCACCCTTCCCCACACCTGAGGCGTATGTGCCTCCCTCCCCCCATGTCCTTCCAGAGTGAAAGGGAACTTACCACTCGGGAACAAAGTTTTCCTGGTGAAAGTTGTCTTCTTCCCAGATACCCATATCAGGATTCCCGTGGAGCCCCTTTCCTGAGCAAAGTAACCCAAGACTTGCCCTAAGGACACCCATAGTGGCCTTCAAGTGGAGCCTGGAAATACTGGGCTTCACCTACGGAGCTTAGAAGTGAAATCTCTCAGGTCTGCCACTTCGTCATTTCCCTCTGCCTCTCCCCTGGGCGAGGGAAGCAATGGCAGGCTCTGGAGGGCTCCCTGTGGACCAGGTTAGCCGAGAAGAGCTGAGATTAGGAGTATTTAGATTTTCTTTATTTGTATCTGAAATCAGAGGGGAAATGCTGAGGAACAGTTATCTCGGAGGGAGGAGTAGGATGTTCTGATTCTGACATTCAAACCTTTTTTTTTTTTTTTTCTTACAGAGTACTGGAAGATGAAAGAGACTATACAAGGGACCGGGTCTTGGGGGCCTGAGCCTCCGGGACCCGGCACCACTTACTCAAACCCCAGACGAGAACGTCTTCGTTGGCCCCTGCCCCCTAAGCCCCGGCTCAAGTCAGGTGGCGGATTCGGGCCGGATCCTGGGTCAGGGACCACAGTGCCAACTAGACGCCTCCCTGCCCCTCGGCCCTCTTTTGATGCCTCAGCTAGTGAAGAAGAGGAAGAGGAGGAGGAGGAAGATGAGGAGGAGGAAGTAGCAGCTTGGAGGCTACCCCCTAGATGGGGCCACCTGGGGGCCTCCCAGCGTCCTCGCCCTCTCCGACCCTCTCATAGAAAAACCTGCTCACAGCGCCGGCGCCGAGCCATGAGAGCCTTCCAGATGCTGCTCTACTCAAAAAGCACCTCGTTGACATTCCACTGGAAGCTTTGGGGGCGCCACCGAGGCCGGCGGCGGAATCTGGCACACACCAAGAACCATCTCTCACCCCAGGAAGGGGGTGCAACGCCACAGGTGCCATCACCCTGCTGTCGTTTTGATTCTCCCCGGGGGCCACCCCCACCCCGGCTGGGTCTGCTAGGTGCTCTCATGGCTGAGGACGGGATGAGAGGGTCTTCACCAGTGCCCTCTGGGCCCCCCATGGAGGAAGATGGACTAAGGTGGACCCCAAAATCTCCTCTGGACCCCGACTCTGGTAAGGTGGGAAATGGAGTGGGAAGGGTGAAGAGCCTGGAGCACCAGGAGTTGGTGGCTGTGGTGAGAACTGGGCCTAAGGACAGCAGAGTGAGGCGTCCAGGAGAAACGATCTCATTAAGCCTTCATTTGAAAGGCCGGGTTCTGGCACACACCTGTTATCCTATCGCTCGGGAGGAGGCTAAGACAGGAACAGTGGATCAAGGCCTGGCCTGGCCTGCAAAGAGAGCTCCTATTCTGTGGGAGTGGGGGAATCTAATTTTGAGCAGGAATGATGCCTGGAACACAGGGAGAGGGAACAGACCCTTAAGTAGCTGTCCTGTGGTCTTCAGTACAGATGACAAAGGGAGCCATGGTTTAGGAAAATCAGTGTTGTCTATTCCAAAGCCGCCTTCCTCTTGGATTAAGGCTTATGCACATCTCCACAGGTTACTCACTGAGCTTGTGGAATGTGAGCTCTACAAGGAGGATAAATCATCTGTAGACTTTAATATTTTTATTTAGAATATTTCCTCTTTGGCAAACTCTAGCCTAATACTTTATCATCCTTATTAATGAGTCTTCTTTACACTGTACTTCATTGGGGGTTAGGCATGTATTGGTGGCGGGTATTTTTGAAATCTCTCTGAACCCCAGCTGTCTGCTTTCCTGCTGCTTGTGACTGGGAACGACTACTCTCTTTCCTTCTGGAAACTCTGGTGGTCCTTACGTTAGGCTTTAGGGGTTTGCGTTCCATAAGGTTTATATTGCTAGGTCCTGCTTCAAGTCTGTTCTGTGCTCGTATTTGTATGTAGCAGTTCTTTCCCTTGGGCTGATTTCTCATTCCTATCCTTTTTCCATGCTTTACAGGCCTCCTCTCATGTACTCTGCCTAATGGTTTTGGGGGACTATCTGGTCCTGAAGGGGAGCGCAGCCTGGCACCCCCTGATGCCAGCATACTCATCAGCAATGTGTGCAGCATTGGGGACCATGTGGCTCAGGAACTTTTTCAGGGCTCTGACTTGGGCCCTGTGGAAGAGGCAGAGCGGCCTGAGGAGAAAGCGGGCCAGCATAGCCCCCTGCGGGAGGAACATGTGACCTGCGTGCAGAGTAAGCCTTTAGAGGACTTCAGTCTCCTTTTGGCCAGCTCCTAGATCAGAGTCGAAAGGCCTCACCCTGCTCTTCTCTCCTACCTCTCTTCAGGCATCTTAGATGAATTCCTGCAGACCTACGGTAGCCTCATCCCCCTCAGCACTGATGAAGTTGTAGAGAAGTTGGAGGACATCTTCCAACAGGAGTTTTCCACACCCTCCAGGTGAGGTTTGAAGGCGGGTGCCCTTTGAGGTGGGGCTGGGACCTTAGGGAGGGAGGGAGGGTGGTTTTCCTCCTCAGGGTGTATGTGGGGTAGAAAAGCTACAGCTGTGAGAGAGGGAGGGGCCGCAGACGGAGTGCCGAGCCTGTGAGACAATTGGAGGAGCCGTGAGACACTGAAAAGTTTATGCCTGATCTTTCCTCTTTCTGGGGAGCGGGAGACCCTCCAAAGGACTTGTGACAAGAAAGAACAGTTGGTTTGGAATCTTACTTTAGACAGTTGTGGGCATTTCTGTCTGCCCATCCCCATTAGCTCTTGTATGAGCTGCAAACCTTTGGCCTATTCAGAAAGAGTCTGGTACTGCAGTTGATCCAGTCCTACCAGCGAATGCCAGGCAATGCCATGGTGCGGGGCTTCCGGGTGTCCTACAAAAGACATGTGCTCACCATGGATGACTTGGGGACCTTATATGGACAGAACTGGCTCAATGACCAGGTAAGAGGAAGATGAAGGGCTTGAAGAGGCTTTTGGAGAGTGGAGCCTTTGCATGGGGGGACCCTGTATCCATACCACACCCTCCAGAGCAAGTTGCTTTCCTCTTTTTTTTCCCCAGGTGATGAACATGTATGGAGACCTGGTCATGGACACAGTCCCTGAAAAGGTAGGTCCAACCGGATTTTTTTTTCTTTTCTTTTTGATCCAGGGTTTCTTTGTGTAGCTCTGGTTTTCCTGGAACTTGAAGTGCAGACCAAGCTGGCCTTGAACCGAGAGATCCATGTGCTTCTACTTCCCCAGTGCTAGTATTAAAGGCCTTTGCCACCACCTGGCACCAAAGAGATTCTTTAATTCCCAGAACTTTTGTAATTCTTAGCAACTTTTTACATCCCCTTTCATCTCTTCCATTTTACATAACTAGGGTCTGTGTTTTGGGAGGAGGAGGAGTAAGTGGTAATCGGTTTATTTATTTTTTTTGTTTTTCAAGACAGTCTCTGTGTAGCTTTGCTCCTTTCCTGGAACTCACTTTGTAGCCCAGGCTGGCCTCGAACTCAGAGATCCACCTGGCTCTGCCTCCCGAGTGCTGGGATTAAAGGCATGCGTCACCACCGCCCGGCTGATTTATTTTAAATCCGTAAGCAAATCTTTAGTGTTTTAGTTACCCCCAATAATTGAGACAGGAATTATCTGTAAGAGAAAGTTAAAAACAGTTCCATGTCGGGCAATGGTGGCCCATACCTTTAATCTCAGCACTCAGGAGGCAGAAGCAGGGAATCTCTGTGACTTCAAGGTCAGCCTGGTCTACAAAGTGAGTTCTAGGACAGCCAAAGCTGTGAGGGAAACCCTGTCTCCAACCAAAAAAACAAACAGAAGAAAAGAAAGCAAACAAAACCCCAGCTCCACTTTCCTATTAAGTGAATTAGAGTGGTAGTTGTTGCAGCCATTCACTTAGGCCGTTAGCAACTGGCCTGTGGGTTGGGAGCGTGGCAGGGATCTTTGTGGGCAGCTCTGACGTCTTTGAATTCTACCCGGCTCTTTTGTCTCCTTGGCACAGGTGCATTTCTTCAACAGTTTCTTCTATGACAAACTCCGTACCAAGGGTTATGATGGGGTGAAAAGGTGGACCAAAAATGTGAGTCATGAGTTCACAACTACTTGTGCAGCACCTTGTCTTAATGTTTTAAGAGATTTGCTTTCTTTGAGCCCTTTCCCCAACCCTGGTCATCATTCTGCTAAATATTAAATACCTTGTGTGCCAGGCACTATTGTAGGAACTAAGGGTACAATATTAAATAAGGAAATGATCTTGCCTTGATGGGATGAGGGTAAGTTAAATCTCAGCTAGTCATCAAGTGCTGTGAACATATTAAAACAGTAATGAATGGGACAGCGTAAGAGTAAGAGGTGCTTTAGGTTGGGAAGAGGTCTTACTGGACTTAGTAAGGCCTTCCGTATCTGAATGATAGGAGTCACCATGTGTAGTCTGGGAACCAGTGCTCTAAGCAAAAGGAACAGCAAGTGTTTGAGACCCAGATAGAAGAAGAATATGCTTGGAACACGGTGACTAAGGTAGAATGATTGTGAGGCGTGTAAGGTAAGCTGAAAAGATAGATTTACTCTGGGTACATTGAGAAGCCGTTTTAAAATGAATTGCATTTCTACCGTGTGGATGTGTGTGCCATGGTAGGCATGTGGAGGTCAGAAGACAGTTTACAAGAATCAGTTCTTTCCTTCCATTACGTGGGTTCCAGAGCTCAAACTCAGGTAGTGATGCTTGGGGAGGCCTTGCCCTGTTGAGGCGTCTTACCAGCCCTAGTAGACTAGAATGCTTCATGTGTGCTGCTCCTGTTCCGTGATGGGATGGAAGGGGAAGGGAGTCCCGGTGAAGTCGCTGGACTGGAGTGCCAGAGGGGAAGATGGGAGGGGATTCCTCTACGTTTGATTTGACATGTAGAACCAGTAGACTTTCCTGGCAGTTGCATGTGGGAGATGAGGAGAGCAGTGGAGGATAATACTTGGGTTTGGGGCCTAAGTAACAGGAAAAATTGGGCCAGGAGAAGGTTTGGGGTGGATTCCAGAATTTCTGTAGGTTTATTTGCCCAATCTGAAAGGCCTGGAAATCTCTACAGCGACAAAGGAACATTGGTTCTAACACCCATTTGCCGGCCTGCCTCCTGTCACCTAACACTACCTCCCTACCTCTGTCTCCTGTCCCCCCCCCCAAAAAAAAAAATTAGCTAGAACTACAGCTGTGCAGCACTCATCACTGGACTGCCGCCCTAGCTCCAGTTGTAATTTTTGTGCTCAGCTTTACTCGGACCTGGTGAGCCTCGTTTCTTTCGGTAGAGGCGAGAGTGACCATGTAGTGAAAACTCTATCCTTCTGTATACCTGAGTTAAATATTTTTGTGCGTGGGTCAGCGAGATGGCCCATCAGGTAAAGACACTTGCTGTCAAGCCTGATGAATTGAGTTTGATCTCTGGGACTCATGGTAGAAGGAGAGAATCAACTTGTCCCCTGACCTCCACACATATACCATGGCATGTGTGTCCCCTCCTCCCAATAATGAACATAAAAAAATGTAAGTCTGTCCTGTACTGTTGCTTACTTCTGTGACCTTGAGCAATTGCTTGCCCAATTGGCAGTTTTGTCTTGAATGACACACGAAATTGTGGTAGGGTGACTACAAACATTAACTGAGCATTTCTTTCAGACCATGTGTCCATGTGGATAGTGACTGGTTTACTCCCTATAATGAATAAAGACAGGTACTTTTGCTCTCTTCCTCAGATAAGGCAACATATAGAAGGTTAAGTAGCTTGCTCATGGTCACCTGGACCAGTAAGTGTAGAAGCTAGATTTCAACCCTGGCAATGTGGCACCAAAATCCTGAGTCTATTTTGTTTTTGCTTTAATTATTATTATAAGGTGTGTATGAGTGTTCTGCCTGCATGAATGTCTGCACCACATGTGTGCAGTGCCATAGAGGCAAGAAGGGGCCATTGAATCCAGGAAACTTAAGTTACAGATGGTTGTGAGCCATCATGTCGGTGCTGGGAATTGAACCCAGGTCCTCAGGAAGAGTAGCCAGTGCTTTTAACCTGTGAACCATCTCTCCTGCTACAGAGTCTGGGTTTTTACCTAGACTTTTTCCTTTAATGCATGAATACCTGGCACCAGACAGGATCTCGTGTAGCAAAGGCTGGCCCTGAATTCACTCCTAGTTTTCCCAGCTGCTGGAATTACAAAGCACATGTATATTCTGATACTATTCTTATTTCTAACTTTCTTCTTCACCATCAAATATCTCCACATCAGCCAGGTGTGATGGTGCATGCCTGTATTCCAAGTACTAAGGAGGGAGAAGCAGGAGGATCTCTGAATTCAAGTCCAGCCTGGTCTACATAGTGAGTTCCAGGACAGCCAGGGCTATGTAGAGAGACCCTGTCTCAAAAAACCAACAACACAAAGCAACATCTGTACTAGAGAGATACCTCAGCCTGTAGAGTGATTATGAGGACTTGAGTTTGATCCCTACCTAAAAAAGCCAGGCCACCTGTAGCGGTAATATCAATCCTGTGGAAGTGGAGATAAGAGGGTTCCTGGGACTTGCTGTCCAGCCTGCCAAGCTTACTCGTTGGGTACTATGTCAGTGAGGGACCCTGTCTTAAACCAAAGGTCAACACTCAGGAAGGACACTGTCAGACCTCTGGCCTCCATATGCGTGGCACACATAACACACACAGAGAATCTCAGCAACAGGGTAGGTGTAACACAGTCGTGCAGTGCTCGCTTATCATGTAGGAGACCCTGCATTGTATACCAAGCACTGCTTCCTTGCCTCACCCCCCACCCCCCCCAAAATAAGTATTAACTTCTGAAACTGAGCCTTCTCTCACAATCTAGGATCTGTATTTTATGACTCCTTTGCCTGTTCCATATTCTCTCTTTAGAATCCTCATTGCAGTCAGCAGAGTTTTCTTTCTGTTGTTTCTGACCTCCAGCACTCTCTCTTCAGGTGGACATCTTCAATAAGGAACTACTGCTAATCCCCATCCATCTGGAGGTACACTGGTCCCTCATCTCAGTTGATGTAAGGCGGCGCACCATCACCTATTTTGACTCACAGCGCACTCTGAACCGCCGCTGCCCTAAGGTTTGAGGAGGTTGTGGGAAAACAAGTAATAAAGATAAAGATGGAGGGCAATCTGGGAACAAGGCATCCAGGAAGAACTGTGGGCTTGGAGTCAGAAGAGTGCCAGGGGCATGGTGCTTGCCACCAGTATACGCTGCATTCGGCTGGTAAATGATGAAAGTATCACTTTCTTTTCCCCTGCCCACATAGCATATTGCCAAGTATCTGCAGGCAGAGGCTGTAAAAAAAGACCGACTGGATTTCCACCAGGGCTGGAAAGGTTACTTCAAAATGGTGAGTTTCCAGAGGGAAGTGGACTCGTGTAATGGGGAGGGTAGTGGAGAGGAGGCAGAAAGTGAATTCATAACCTCTGCGAGTCTCCAAGTGGACGACAGGTTCTTGCTTTCTCTTCCCTAGAATGTGGCCAGGCAGAATAACGACAGCGACTGTGGTGCCTTTGTGTTACAGGTAAGCAGTGATGGGGCCGCCTCCTCAGCTCGAGTCAGTGGCTTAGGGGTTGTTGGTAGTTCGTGCCTCACTTGGTTCTGCCAGACTGTAGAGCAGGTTGTACCTTTATGTGTCAGAGCACAGAAACCCTGATTTCATCGGTGTTCTCCAGGCCCCTCTCCATCCAGAGTTGGGACTGGTTCTCTGGCTTTGGTCCTGATAGAGAGGCTTCCCAACATCCTCCCAACTCAGTGTACTTTCTCCCACTGGAGACTGGACCAAATATGAAGAGTGTTTCAGCCCCAGGCTACTAGACACTAATGCCAGTCTGGATGAGAAAAGGGTTTCTGTGAAATGTGTAGCACAGGCCCTGACTTGGGAGGTGTGCTCAGTCAATGGTTCTCACGGCCTGCTTTGTTAACACCCAGTACTGCAAGCACCTGGCCCTGTCACAGCCATTCAGCTTCACCCAGCAGGACATGCCCAAACTTCGACGCCAGATCTACAAGGAACTGTGTCACTGCAAACTCACTGTGTGAGCCTCAGACCCCAGACCCCCAGCGACTAATGGGCAGGGGACAAGGGAGACCCTTCCCCAGAAACTCCAGTCCCTTTCCTCTCCCCACCCAATTCCCTTTGGATTTTCATATTTAAATGTTTTGATTTCTGTATTTTGTTCTCTTTGCAAGAATGTTGATTTCTGATGGGAAGGGAGTGGCCACATAAGAGTCCTTGTCTCCCTCTCTAGAGGAATGTTGCCTTGTGACCTAGATGGAGCACCATTCCTCCTTCCATGTTCAGGGGGCAGGAAAACTGTGGGGTGGTGGGCGGGCAAAGGGATTACTGCCTGCCGGATGTTCAAACTTTTTTTTTATATAAATATATATATAAAAATGCCACGGTCCTGCTCTGGTCAATAAAGGATCCTTTGAAGATACATAAGTGGTGGTATTCCTTGAGGGGCCTTAAAAGAGCGGATGTGCTCTATCTCAGGCCTCCCAGCTAGTGCTGTTAGCTGCCCCGTTTTCAGGTCTAAGATCTCAAAAGCCGGCTTTCTATATGTGCCAATACTTCATCATCCAAACAAACCTCCAGGGCAGCCAGCCTGGCAGGGGGCCAGAAGAAGAGGAATCAAGCCTCAAAAATAAAGGGAGCCTGAGAGTGCGGGGAGTGGGCCTAGAACCCTGACAGCATACCTTTAGCCTTTTAGCCCAGAAATGGGTTCCACCCTTTTTCCCTCCAGCTAGGGAAACTTTCTGCCCCCTGGGGTATCGACACTGGTTCTATCATTCCCGCTGCACTGTGAACACCAGTCTGTACTGAACGGGAGAGTAAAACTTGAGTCCCGTAGAAACCTGTAGCAGAGATGTAAAGGGAAGTGGTAGTCCCGAGTGCCCGGAAGTCCCCAGAGGCTAAGGCCTCACCCCCGTCGCATGATAGGACCTGCTGAGCCACATGACCAAGGCACGATCGCCTCCGCACGTGTAAAGGTGCTGGGCTCCAAGATGGCTGCCCGGCCGCGAGGCTCGACTTCTGTATGTCACTTCCGTACCAGCGAGAAAGGCGGGCCCTTCAGCCAATGAGGCTGCAGGGCGGGCCTCGACCTTGATAGGCATTCAAATTACCCAATAGGGCGTACGAGCTAAAGCGCCTACAAACTAACGTCACGTCGAGTTGCAGAGCGCCGGCGGGCGGGGCAGAGGCGGCCAAGCCAATGCGATGGCTGGGGCGGGGTCGGGCGCTCTATAAGTTGTCGATAGGCGGGCACTCCGCCCTAGATTCTAAGGATCATGTCTGCGAGTCAGGATTCTCGGTAAGAAAGGCATTTGCAAGAGCTTGCGGCTACTTACCCCGCCGCTCCCTTCCGACGGCCCCGCGGGGGCCGGGGGCGGAGGTTGAGAGGCCCATCGCCCCAAACCCGCCCGGCTGCGGGGAGCCGAGCCGGGAGGAACCGTCCGGAGGGGGCAGGGGAAGGTCCACGGCCGCCGCCGGCGCGGAGACGGGAAAGGACAGCCTGGCCAGGGCGGGGGGCGCGAGGCTCGTCACGAGGCCTCCGCCCGAGGGGCTGCCGTACGCGGAGCCCGGGTGCTGGAGGCGAG